TAGTGAGGATATACATTAGCGTAAAACTCCAAACCAGAAAGATATTGCAGCGCGGACATGAAATATATATTGCACAGCGCACGCAAGCACATCCATCAATAATAAATTCGATTTTTTGTTTTGCCTTTATGTTCATGATTCCTTGAAATAATTTTGAGCTCATGTATCTATCAGGTCATAAATGTGACATTTATGATGTGGTAAAATCATACTCCATATACCATACTTTAAAAATACAATTATGATCCTCTAAAACCAAGATACAGTAAAAAAAAAAAAATGTTTATATATATGCTCCCTCATATCTCTAACAAAAGTATCGAGTCTCTTTTGTTTAATTGATTGAATAATAACAACCGTACTTCCAATTTCTTTACATCGTTCCATCTTAATATTTATTGTTGTCATTATTCTACGTCGGCGCTTCTTTAACACTGTAATCATGGCTGTAGATTTTTTATTTTCTATCAGCTCTACGTCAGAGCGAAATTCCTCACAATGTAAGACAGGAAATGACTTTTCATAATGTTGCTGAAGTGTCACGTGTCTTGCGCTGTCATGACGTGATATGATTTTTATTTTTAGAATTACCCCTATTAACGGCACTCTTAGAGGGATGACTTGCTTATTTCAAATGGGAGCGTAATCGATCTCTGTCTCTCATTTTTAAAGTTCTATTTCTTCTTCTTCTTCTTCTTCTTCTTCTTCTTCTTCTGCTATATCTTCCTACTTCACTCCATTTGGCATTATTATCGTTACTGATATAGTGATACTGCAGCTAATTACAATAATGAATATATTGCACAAGGATTATCCGGGGTTACCATCCTCTCGTCGTGCAGGATCCAAACTGATGATCAAGATTACTCGCAGATAAAATGTTTATTGTTGTTTGTGAGACTTCTGCTAGTGTAATTATCATTATTGTTATTATTATTGTTTTATTATTAATATTATTATTATTATTGTTTTATTATTAATATTATTATTATTATTGTTTTATTATTAATATTATTATTATTATTGTTTAATTATTATTATTATTATTATTATTATTATTATTATTATTATTATTATTATTGTTTTATTATCAGTATTATCATTATTATTATCATTACAATTATCATTGTCACTCTCAAAACTATTATTGTAATCATTCGTATTATTATTCATTACCTGGCTGCACTAAGAGTTGGGTCGCTAAATAATGGAAGTATGAGAATAAACTTCAAGGGAAGAGAGATCACAGACAAGACGAAAATAAAAGGAGTGGATGTCCTCTGGTCCAGGAGACAAGGAGGAAGCGAAATGGAAGAAAGGAGTTGGGAGAAAGGAGGTAATAGAAGAGGAAGAGACGGAGATGTGGAAAAGCAAAGGGAGAGTGAAATAATGAAAACAAGTGTTAGTTATGGGGAAGACTTATTGAACATAGTCTGCGTTTTTGAAGCTCAGGTAATATGTTTGGAAAAAAGCGTGAGGTTTAAGAAAAGCACGAGGTTTGGAAAACGTTAGATCTACAGACAAGAAATGTAAAACGAAGAGAAAGTTATCATTAGGGGAGATCTGGATAGTTATGTTGGTACAAACAATGATGCAGCGAACCGTGTCCATGGAGTTCATGGCCGTACAGAAGAAAACCTTGTATTTTTTTCACTGTCCTTTGATATGGCTGTTGTTAACATCTTTTGAAAAAAAGCTTGAGCATGTTATCACATGTAATGATGGTGGAAGAAGCGTTCTGTTACTGGATATAAAGAAAGCAATGTCATCCTGGGGGACCACGTGGCCACACAACACAGTCAGTTGGACATATTCAGAGAAACAGAGAGAAGATCAAAGCAGACGGACTAGAGGGAATTAATCTTTTAAAGGTAAGGGAGGAAGTTATAAAAGCACAAGACGAGAATCCTGGAAGAGATTTTATTGAAGAACAGGAAGTCCTTGGTGAGAACATATGGAGATCTTAGAAAATAGGTGAAGGTGTTGGAGGGATAACGAATAGAAAGAAGAGGCGAAAGGTAAAAAGAAAGCAAAGAAAAGAGATGGGGAATAGATCGAAGTTAATGCATGCAGAGGAAGGAACGAAGGAACGAAAAGGGGAGTTTGAGTGGTTAAATCCACGGTTTATATAGACCAACTGCTCATAGCTTATCTTGGTGAATTGTCGTGGCATTTCTCGCTTGTACTATCGCTGAATTAAAGAGAAAATGGTCGGGGAAAACAGATGAATAAAGAGACCCTAAGCATTTTTTTTCTTTGTTCGCAATTTCGTGGGGATATATCTCTGCCATTTATAGAGTTACAATGTACTTCAGAAGATCTACAAAACTAAAATCATGAGCTGAGCCGAGATATGCCTTTAACAGAAACCAGCAGCCTCGCCATGACCTGGTCGGGAGGTAAGCGCGTCCTCCATCTTGCCCACAGCCAGCGAAGGGAAGATGCAGTTGTCTCTCTCCCGCTGTCCTTTTGAAGACCAACATGGAACTTGAATCCAAAGCTGAAAAAAAATCAGATTAGCAAATACTTGAAAAAAACATGTGACATTACGGACATAAAACAAATTCAAAGGGAAGATGGGACCGTAGGAGAGACGGAAATAATATTTTGAGAAACTATTTATTAAAGAAAATGAGCGTCTGAAAAGAGACAGAACCTTGGAATGGTTTCATGTGTTGCGAAGAGGAAAGGGGTAAAGGAAGCTACAAAGAAAATGAACAAAGAATAAAAAAAGACAGCGAACCAGACAACACACCAGTAGGAAACTGGAAATCTGGAAGAAGAAGGAACAGAAACACAATGGAAGTTGATGGAGAAGTTCTTAGAACAAGAGTAAATTGGTGATAACATACACAGAGAGAAGAATCATGCAAGACGACAAGGATTGCAGAGGAATTCATTTGGTGGCAAAATGAAAATCTTAGAAAAAAAATATAGATAGAAAAACAAAGAGCAGAAATAAACATTAGAAATGTTAGAAATAGTTGGAGAACTCGAAGACGAAGTATGATGCCAGAAAAACTGTATCGGAAAGAGGGAAATGTACAGACATGCAGACACGAGAGCGAAAAGTACAATAAGAACGACGGAGAGTGATGGAGTACAAATTTATATTACATCAGGATTCTGTACAAAGCCCTTTTATATGCATGTCATTACAGATGCTCGAGAGGATGGTCCCTGGGGCACGCTGTACTGAGATGATATCGCTCTCTGTCCCGAAACCGAGCAGGAATTAGAAACAAGTTCACAAACACGACGAGACGCACTGAGGAGACGAACGAGAATAAATGTCAGCAACGGAGTACAAATGGAGATGTCACCATTAAACTTAACGAGAGGGATTGATGAAACGCGGATAAATCATTTCGAAACAAGATTAACGAAGCAACGTGAGCAAGGAGATCCACCACAGAATTCAAGCAGTGTGGAAGAACTGACGGGAAGCCTAAGGTGTGGTACGCGACAGCCCAGCGTACCTGTGAAGATTAAGGGAAAATTCCATAAGACAGCAGTGAAGACAGCGCTGATTAATGGGATTTAAGGCTGCGGCGTTGAGGAAGACGGATGGAAACGGGACTCATGTGGCGGAGATGAGGATGCTGCGAGGGATGTAGTCAGTTACTAGGACGAACAGGATTGGAGGGAAAAAAAATGTCCTGAGATTATAAAATTAACGGAAGAATCAACGAAGGTGCGTGGAGGATGACAAGTGAAAGGGAAGGAAGTGCGAAAATGAAGGAGAAGGAGAAGAAGAAGATGATATAGAGAGACCGTATCAGGGGTTAGTGTAGAAGGGAAGGCAGAAGGTCGGAGGTTATGCATAAAAGCGACTCTCTGTGATATAGGAAGTTGAAGATATAGATAGTTTATCATTATCAGCGTCATCATCATCATTATTATTGGTGTTATTATTATTATCATCATCACCATTGCTATCATCTCCATTCTTGTTATTATTATCATCACCTGTGTTTTAATCATTATCATTATTCGTTTTCTTTTACCCATCTCTATTCTGCTACATATTCTTTCTTCTATCTCTTTCTTCGCCTTCTCTTCTTTTCTTTCATATTTTCTGGAAAGGAAGAACAGACAGAGAGATGATAACAGAAGATAATGGAACTATGAGGAAAACACTTATCCTTATCTATCATTTTTGACAACGAGAAAAAAAAAATCAGAAAATACGTTAGGAGAACAGAGAGAGAATGATAATGAGAATTAGAAAAGACAAGAAAATTGAGAAAGGTTGCAGAGCTGTGCAAAGATATTTATGGAGAGAAAGATGTAAAGATGATGGTGATATAGATAGATCGAGAAAGACATAGCTATAGGGAAAAAAATAGACAGATGCAGAGAGAGAGAGAGAGAGAGAGAGAGAGAGAGAGAGAGAGAGAGAGAGAGAGAGAGAGAGAGAGAGAGAGAGAGAGAGAGAGAGAGAGTAATATAAACTCAAACAGTCAGAGAAAGACAGATGTAGATTGATAAAAAGATGGAAGAAATGAGAAAAAAAGATAATGGATAAATAGACGAAGAGAAGAAGAATCCAAACATTATTAGATTTAAAAGAAAATACCACACACGACGTGTAAACATCTTCACCAAACGAAACCTGAAAGAAATTACAAAGCCATAATTCAACAGATTTTACAGTATTCCGAATATGTAAAAATAAGAAGAAGAAGAAAAAACAAAAATTGAAATTATGCAAAAATATGTTGAATATATATAAAAAAAGAAAGAAAGAAAAAAGAAAAGGAAAAAAGAAATGACACTATCAGCGTTTATCTCTGTCACTTGCATTATCTCTCCTCTGCCTCGCCTGGCATTTAACATCTCTTTCTTCTTCCTCCTCTGTCTCTGTCTCGTTATCTGTTTTTGGTTTGGCTTGCAAAATACTGCAGAGGATGATGTTGATAATACAATGAGAAGCTCAATATTGCAAAGGAGGAACATGATAATGGGAGTGATGGTACTGATTATGGTAACGATAATAG